TCATAAATAGAGAGAGAGAGAGAGGCTGTGTATGTATGAATTACCACCGTTTTGCTGCGTTTCTCTATTAACAGTTAAGCTGTGGCTTTAATTCCTTTAGATACAATGATGTTACCAGCTCCTTGTTGAGAAAGATAATGTAGTTCTTGAGCTATTTAGTTGATAAAATTGCAGGGCAGCGCTAAAAAGTTTGCTCCTGAATGTCTGAATGCGGCCTCAAAAAGATCTGTGTGAGTGACTGAGCGTGTGTGCGCGTTAGATACAGAAGACAGCACATTAGTTTAGAACTCTTCTCATTTTTATTTTATTTTTTTTAAACGTAGAGAGTGTGTTATTTTGTGCAATGATAACCTACCAGCAATGTAAATATGATTTTTAAAAATATATTAGAATGAGTACATTACAATATACACAGCCGTTTTACTAAATTCTGCTGAGGTGAAAATCAGTGCAGTCCTGTATCGTGATATGTATCGTATCGCGGCATCTGTATCGTGATACGTATCGTATCGTGACTTTGCTGGTGATACACAGCCCTAGTAGTAACTGAAGATATTGTACACTAATCTATATACTGTATGAAGAGTTGCACATCTGTCACTTTGTGACTGCACATCAGTTGAATTCTACATTTAATGCACCAAGTTTCACTGCACCTACACTGACTGTACACATGATGCATCAAAAAGAAATTGCTCCCATTATAATCAACGAAGCAGTCTGGACTGAAATCACCCAAACGCAACAGCAGTGCTATTAGACCTTCTCTACACCACACTTTCTCTGACTCCCTTAGCTCACATTTTCTCCTATACTTCATGAAAACCTGGTCTGAAATCGTTTGAGCTTTAAAGGGACATCTCTTTCACACACACAACGCAGACTTTGTAATTCAATGTATTTTCCTCTCATTGTTTTAAATGAGCCACAAAATTACATTTGTGCCGCTAAATTACATTACGGGCTCTCCTGTAAAGAAACATTTATTACTTTCCGTTTAGCAGTCCTGTTTTTTTTAAAGCAACCTACAGCACAGCGTGCCGGAGACCCCGGATATAAGTGCATTACTCAAGGACTCGCTTTCTGCTTAGAACTGAATCTACAATACAGGATGTAGCTGTAGCACACCGCTTGCATATGAAACATGATATGAAATGATGCAAATCATCAGAGGTAAACAAAATTTGTTTTTAATATCCCAGCCGAATCGGTTTTTGTGGCTTCTCAACTTCCTAGTGCAAATTACTGTCAAAGCATCAAGAGAGGCAGAGACTCAGCTACTGTAACTCCACTGTCTCTCTTTCCCAGCTGGAGCATTTGGGCAGGTATTGCGGGTTATTTGGTTTATTATCAAATTTTTTATTAAGTAGCCATGTAATAAGGGGGATAATCTACTGTGGGCTGCTCATTATCATTAATAAACCACAACAAAGTGACCTAGAACCACCACTGGCCAAAACTATTGCATTTAGCAAGTTAAACTTTCAATTCAACAGTCAGTGTGCTCTCTGCAGCAACTTGACAAGATAATTCATTCATAAACCAAAAATAAAATTGCTAAATAATGTTGCATGCTACAGACAGATGATTTAAAAAAAACACTTAAAAAAACATAAATAAAATCTTAAATAATAAAAAAAAAAAATCACAATAAACAAACTAAGCAACCAACCAAATAAATAAATAAATAAATAAAGTAAATTCACTTTACTACTGGTTGCCAAGACAAGGAAAGGAGTTCCAGTTCCATCTTCCTAAGGTCAATGGTTTAATGATTTTTTTTTGGGGGGTGGGGGGGAGGGGGGGACACACAAGCTCAAGATACTTTCACATTTTATTCTACAACATAAATACATCAGTAATTATAAAATAAAAACACATTTTGCGTGAATAGCCCCTAACGTGAACTTTCAGTGAAAATGTTTTACATAAAGTAGGGCTGCACAATTAATCGAATTTCTAATCGCGATTACAATTATGGATGCCACAATTACGTAATCATTCAAACCGGCAATTAATCGTTCAAAGTCCACTTATGTTATTCTGTGCTTAAGATGCGTTTTTTTTCTTTCTACATGTTATCTTAAGGGTTTTTCCCTTATAATACCATTCATATTTTTACTTTTTTTTTAATTTAAAGAAGTATACAATCTGATGTATAGTTGACATTTGAGGCTTAATACTATGGAAAAGCACTAAAAGTTTTTCATTTAGAGTGTTTTCAGCTTGTTTATTTTCATATAAATATACGGCACGCAGTTGCATCAAACAATGGTATAAACATCATTCAATGAAAATTGTGATAATCGTAATTAACAATCGCAATTACAATTTCAAGGGAATGATCGACAATTATGATTTTTGTCATAATCGTGCAGCCCTAACATAAAGCCTGAAGGAGTTGATGGGAGCTTAATTTTGGTGGCACTGAAGTCATGTGACTGTGGTGTTGTTCGTTTAAAGCCTTCGTTTGGCTTTTTACATCTGCCGATTATATTTAGGCTTCAAAATTCATAAAATTTGTTAAGATAATCATGATGAACAAAATGTGTAAGAATCCTAAACTTTTGTTGGTCACAGAGCTTATTTCTGTAATTATCCAAAAGCCTATGGAAAACTGATTGGGTTTTTTGTTGAGGGTGAAGCAAACATCCGGAGTGGCTTACAAAAATACGTCATCACTGCACTCTATTACAGCTAAGACAACTCCTAAAGAATAAACTACACAAAGCTAGCTGGTGTCTTCCAAACACTTAATGTCAGGCATTTTTGGGCAAGCTATCCCAAAATAAGAGTACTTGCTGCTAGAAAATCACCAACTGTGACGTGACTGAACCGCATGTCTGAAACACCAACCTGCTCTCACTGCCTTGCTTCTTCCTCTCTCGCACCTTCAGCCACTTGCGAAGCAGGAATCGTTTGCGCCGGGGCGAGGCGCTCGGGGTAGAGCTGTTCGACCAGGCCGCGTCTTCGTCGCTGGATGGCGTGATTTCGATGGAGGGCAGCTGAAGGTACTCTTTGGAAGCCGAGCGGGATCCAGGGTGCCGCAGCAGCACATTCTCAAGCCGCTCCCGCTCGCTGGGCAGCTTTTTCATTCGTCTCATCTTAAACCGTCGGCGCCGCAGGGTGGGGGTGGACAAGCTGGACCAGACAAGGCTGTCGTGACCGCCTCCGCTCCCACCGCCCTCCTCCTCTCCATGGCTGGACTCGTCCTGGGGGACGTGCACCTGGAGGGACGGTGGGCGAAGGGTGTCTGTCATGCTCCGAGCTCACCACCCCTGCCGCTGTGATCACCGGTAAGATGCTAAACGGAGATGCTACGGTTACTTCCCAGCTACCACGGAAGGTGAGAGTCTAACCGGGGAGCTGTCCGGGTTAAAGATTCAAGAAGAAGCTCAGGTGTTAAGTTGATCCTGAGTCCTCCAAGACTTGTCTGAATGCCGGGGCACTTCGATCAAAAGTCGATAATCCAGTCCTGCGCTGAATAGCTGTTTGGGTCCTTTCTTGACGATCGATTGAACTCTTTCTTCTTGTTTTAGCTGCACAATTACCCAACAAAGGGCACCTGATGGTGTTTGGGTGGATGAACTGGTGGAGGTGAGTGAAAATGATGGGAGCGTGTGTGGCCTACAGCGGTATTAGATGACAAAGGAGAGCTCTTTTCTCCTCCCAGCAGATGAAACATGCATAAGGGGCGGCTATCGGTGTAACAGTACTCCAGGACTCCCGAAGGTCCGAGACGGTCTCACACACACGAACACGAGCATAAACACTCAGACTATAGAAATGACCTGTGTGTTTTTTGTTAAAGATGCCAGGAAATCTCTCCTGAGTACAGTCCGGTTATCCAACAACAATTTTGAAGATGGATGGTAATGTCTGGAGCCATAATTGTGGGTTGGTCACGTTCCTCAGGCTGCTGTTCCCACAATGCTCTGCATCTCAGTCTTCCGGCACATACAGCTGCCCTCAGCCTACAGATTAGAGTAAGGTGATAGGATGCCAGGTAACTAGGACACTGGGGACTGAAGTTGTAAAGTTGTATAACAAAGGTATTGTTAAAAATGCATGCGAAGCCACAAACAGTCACAAGGACACATTTATACACAAGCCCCAGCAAGATGCACCACCAAACACACAGATGAATCAGCAACACAAAAAAATTAAGCACAGTAATTGTGAGAGTGCACACACATACATAGAGTACTCATCTGAATGCACACTGAAACCACACACTGAACTGGGATCTCTGAATGAACCACAGAATGAACTGAAAAATTAAAACCAAAAAAAATCCAGATTTAATTTATTCTTTCTGTCAGTTTCAATATTGTATTAATATTGTTGTTGTTTTTTTTCTGTTATGCATGCTACAGAATTGTTCACAAACAAACAAAAAAAGAAAAATAAATAAATAAATGTTTTGCCAAAAACTTTAAGGTTTTGCCAAACCCATATGACATTCTTGCTCACACGGAACATAATATATATATTTCATAACAAATGTGTAAAATATATTTAAATGCACGACTTACAAGTTTCAATAGAAATTATATTGAAGCATATTTTAGTTTACCATAAATGCTTGCCAGTACATTCAGCAGTATCTGACATTCAGCATCTTTTAAAGGCAAAATAAGTAAATATGAAATTACATATAAAGATGTACTAAATGGGTCAAAAAACACTCTTAAGTTGCAACTAATTGCATTTATATTTCATTTTAAGTAAAATACTATTTACATTTAATTGTAACATGCAATTGAGTGTGTGAAAACACTGCACTCAGTTCACACTTATGTATATATTTTTTTAAGTATATTATTTCTATATAATAATGTGGTGTATTTAAGGGTAAATAAGGCTCTTTTGACGTCATATGATAGCTTTGTGTGAAAAATGCTTGTCTGCTTCAGCTCAGTGATGCTGAACGCAGTTGGTTCTTGTGTGTCTTGTAGCCAATCTGAGAAAGAGATTTTACAGCTTCAGCAAAGGGGATTTTTTTTTTCAGTCAATTATTTAAATTCCAGGCTGTTTCTCACAATAAAATATCATGTTACTTCAAAAAACATGAGTCATTTTGAAAAAACTTTTGTCATTTTGGGAGCATTTTAGTGTCTCTATTCACATTAATTATATGAAAAAGAGCTGTGTGAACATTTTGCTAAATATCTCCATATTTAGCATATAGTGCCATATGGACTGAACTGACTTGAGGGTGAGCAAATCATGACAGAGTATTCACTGTTTTGTAAAAGTACTGGGAATAACCTCAAACCGCAAAAAGCACCTAGATTTAAAGCATGCCACTGTGGTTTTACTATAAATCATTGGAGATGTTTATTCATCACAAACTGTAAAATGATTTTATACTACAGGGGCAGTGTCTAGCTGAAGATGTGAGCGATAAAAGACCAGATAGTAAGCCTGACTAGAGTAAACTGCCCAATGAGAGTCATATAAAGAGGCCGTGGGCCAAACACCCTGACCGCTGACCCAGAACTGAGAAACTCAAATACAATCCAGTTGACATCCAATATTTAAACAATCACTTCCACTAAACTGCACACAAAACCAAAGGCCATACTCCAAATGATTACTTCATCGGATTTTTGTTTTTAAATGAAGCAACAAGATCAATATGCAAATTACAAATGAGAGGAGAAAATCTATAATGTTGAACAATAGCATTCCACATTTCTCCACTGCAGAACAGCAGGAAGCCTCTGTCAGGTTGTGAGCGAACTGTTATGTTGACAGATAGTGACAGGATTGGGTTACTTTGAAATGAGAGGCTGTGTCATTGTGTCAAGACAGACACTCAAGGCGATCGCCGCGACATAACCTCGCTTCTCTTCCTCGCTCTCATTAACAGAATGACACACGTTATTCTCATTATTAGAAAACACGTGTGAACTAGAGGTGAGCTGCTACCACTGGTCATATTTATGAGCTCTTTTCAAATCAAGTTATCCTGGTGCTCGTCTCAAGTAAAGTTGTGAATAAAGAAAGAAGGTCATAAAACTATCCAAAGGACACATCCACAGCAGGGTTATTATACTTAACTGAAACTAAAACCATAAAACGTTTTTGTTACTTGAAATGAAATACATTTTAAATAAATGCATTTATTATTTTTATTCTATTCCAGCTACTTGCCAAGGCAACTTTTTTTTTTAAACTTAATACAAACTAGGCATACAGTATCTAAAAATAATAATAATGACAAAAATGAGAAAATGCACAACAAAATTACTAAAACTGTAAAATGAAAATGGAAAATATAAAAATAAAAGACATTCAAAATATTAATAAACTATAATAGTATCTAAATGATGCTAAAATAACACTTTGATTTTAGCATTAGAACATGCAACTGTCAAATATTTGATTTACTTCCTTTTGCCTGAAACATGCAAATATGATTGCTACAAGCAAAATGAATATGAAAATAGACATGCAAATGCAATCAGAAACTATGTTTGTAACAGCTTTCTCAAAATAACTCACATCACAGACTTGCTCTGTTACAGTATCTAACAAGTCACATGAAAAATGAAAAATTCCCTTAAACAGCACATTATGATTTGTATCAAAGTGGACATGAAGACCAGGTGTGGAACACGTTTTCTGTAACGAACATTTTTATTTTTATTTTTTATAAAACCTCAAAAAGGATTGCCTGTAGGAATTCCCTGAGTTAAGTACAAGCTAAATGCCAATGACATCTACTGTATGTGCTCATATGCTAAACCTTGACAATGTTCATTTTAAGCAGATATTTACATTACAAATGTACTATTATTTTATTTCAAGTAAATATTATTGACTTGTGCTGTACTACACTAATTTTAGTCCAATCAAATACTCTCTAGAATGTGAATGCTCCGCCCCCTAATTCCACCTACATCAGACTATAGCAACAAATAACATAATTTAACATAATGCTTTTATTCAGCATGTGCACATTAAACTGATCAAAAGTGAGAGTAAAGACATTTATAATGCTACAAAAGATTTCAAATAAATGCTGTTCTTTTGAGCTTTCTTTTCATCAAGAATCCTGAAACATGTATGTGCTACATTTCTGGTGTGACAAAATGTATCTAAAAATGTATCATGGTTTCCACAAAAATATTAAGCAGCACAACTCGTTTCAACATTGATAAGAATGAGAATTATTATTAATTATTAAGCAACAAATCAGCAAATTAGAATGATTTCCGAAGGCTCATGTGACACTAAAGACCGTAAGAAATGATGCTGAAAATTCAGCGGTGCATCACAGGAATAAATTACATTTGAACATACATTCAAATATAAAACCGCTCTTTTAAATTGTAATAATATTTCACAATATTACATTATATTTTTCTGTATTTCTGATTAAATAAATGCAGTGCTGGTGAGAATAAGTGATATATCTTTAAAAAACAAACAAGACAGCTAAAATGTGTTCTAAATATGTATTAAATGTTTAGTTTTGCATGCTAGTATGGATGTTTAAAACGTATCATATGAAGGACTTATCGAAACATCATATCCTGCCAGTTAAGCCCAGTGAAAATTAATATTTTCCATATAAACCATTTACAGTGAAAGGAGAGACGATCCTCCTGCTGCGATCAGAGATATTTCAAGAGTGCTGTTAATCAGAATATAAAGACACCAGCTCGCATTACAGACATCCTTCATCAGAACAGAATAACTTCAACAGCTTTACACAACCAAGGTCATGTGGACGAGGAAAAACAACATTCACCAATAACATCAAAGCTAAAGTTAAAGGGATAGTTCACCCAAAAATTAAAATGTGATGTTTATCTGCTTACCCCCAGGGCATCCAAGATGTAGGTGACTTTGTTTCTTCAGTAGAACACAAACAAAGATTTTTAACTCAAACCGTTGCAGTCTGTCAGTCATATAATGGAAGTGAATGGGGATCACGGCTTTGAGAGTCAAAAAAACATACACAAACAAAACCAAATTAAACCCTGCGGCTCGTGACGATACACTGATGTGTGAAGACATGAAACAATCGATCTGTGCAAGAAACTGAACAGTATTTATATCGTTGTTTTCCTCTGATGCACTGCAATGTCCGAACTGTCCTGAGCGCGTTCTCGACAGCCGGCGCGTGACACATCTTATTCTTCTTCTTGCTTTACGGCGGATCGCAGACTTATAAGTGCATTACCGCCACCTATCTTTCAACTGGACCATTGACACTCTATCTAGAATCTCAATTAGGAGTGTCAAT